AAGGGAGCTCAGGAAGCGTTTGTTGGAACGCACACAGTGGTAAAAACCCACACAGGTAGTGACCAGTTGGGGCGGGGCTGATGAGGGCTGGGATGGTGCAGATATGGGGTAGGGAGAAGGAGACATGCGTGTGCTTGGGACATGGTCCAGTTTAAAGAATTTAAGATCATGGGTAGGGGATTTAGCTCAGTGGTTCCACCGCCTGCCTCACAAGCACAAGGTCCTGAGTTCGATCCCTGGTACCAAAAAAAAAAAAAGAATTTAAGATCATCCAGACAGACAATTAGAAACATTGGGGTGGGATCCAAGAAATGTGGGCTAGAAATAAAGAGCTCAAAGCATCAGTGTATGAATAGTAGTTAAACCTCTGAAATGAATGAACTTGTCATGCGAAAAAGTATGGAGCGTTGTTCCCCGCAAGGTCCTGGAGAACACCAGCTTTTAAATAAAGTGTGGGGAGGGAAGCAGGCCAGCCAAGGGCCATCCAGGAGCACAGGAGGAATGAGATGGGTTTATCCTGGGTTTGGCAATTCAGAAGCCCCCAGGAGGATTTTGATGATTTCAGTGTAAAAATGAGAGAGGAGTGGGTAGAGGGCAGAGTGGAAAGCGAGGAAGAAGATAGGAAAGGAGCAAGAGGCAGGGGTATCATGAGGAGGAGACAGGCAGATACAGGATTTTGCTTTTTAGGAAGACTGGAGTGTTTAGAGGTCAGATCGTAGAAAGGGAAGGAGAGGTAGGAGATACAGAGCAGGGTGTGTCATTGAGATGGATTCTGTCTCTTTTTTATGACATTGGGGATTGAACCCAGGGCCTTTGTACTGAGCTACATTCCCAGACCCTTTGTTTGTTTGTTTGTTTGTTTGTTTTTTTGGTACCGGGGATCAAACTCGGATCCTTGCCGGATCCTTGCCCTTGCGAGGCAGGCGGCGGAACCACTGAGCTAAATCCCTGGCCCCCCAGACCCTTTTAAAAATTTTAATTTGGAGACAGGATGTTGCAAAGTTGCTCAGTCTGGGCTTGAATTTGTTATGGGGGATTTATTCTTGGAAGGTGATGAGGGAATCCTGTGTCCAAGTGGTAAGATTTGGAGGGAGAAGTGGTAGGAGAGTCTAGAGATGGCAGGCAAGCAGGAAGGTGCCTCCAGTTTTTCATTACAGAATTGAGGGGCAGTGATATTAAATGACCTAAAATCATATAAGCTCAGTCCCCAGTACCACCAAAAAAAAATCACTGAGCCATTAAGTAAACCCTGTGCTGGGTCCAGGGTGTCACACTGTGCCCTGGGGATATGTGGGTGAGGACCTGCTAGGATACCCTGTGAGTTCGGGGGTGGACAGTGACAAGTATGGTTCCTGCTCCCACGGGGCCTTATGTCTTCACCTCCTGCCTTCAGCTCTGTCCTTGGCCCAGTCCCTGGGAGTGCTCACCAGCTCACTTTAGCCAGGGACACCTTGGTTCTTGGCACAGTCAGCCCTCCTGCCCTGGGTCAGCTTTGCCTAGAAGCTGGGTGAGCTTGTGCCCTGGGCAACTGGTCACAGCGGGAGGCTGGTATACTTTGGACATGAATGCATCACAGGCTGGCTTTCCTGTGCAGGTGCCCTCTGCCACTTGCCTCTTGCCTTTCTGTACCCAGGAGCAAGGTCAGCAATGTGGGACAGTGGTAGAAGGCTTCAATTTGTCCTGAGGCAGCCGTCAACATAAGAAGCCTTGCTCCTGGCATGCCCAGTGCCACAAGCAATCCTTGTGGCTTGGCCCAATAAGAGAGGGGGCAGGCTCATCAAATCCGAACTTGGGGATGGGAGCAAGCCCTAAGCCAGTCCGCTTGCTGAGCACAACACAGCTCCTTGATGGAATAAAAACATGCTAGTACAGAACTATATTAGCAAAGAGGTCAAAGAAGAGCTGGTTGACCTGTTGCTTGGGTCCCATTAAGGCTGCTCACCTCTGACTGCCAGTCTTTTCCCTCGTGGTCAGCCAAGACTGTGGCTGAACATTTCTTTCAGTTGCTATGGAACATGTTGTATGTAGTATTCTCCATCTTGGCTGCATGTTAGAATCACAGAGGTGATTTTTGTTTGTTTGGTTTGCTTTTTACCACTACTGCTTGAACCCCTAACTAAATAAAAGTTTTGGAGAGCAGGGCCTAGACATTTTTTTAACTCTTCTGGTCCTTGCCTTGGGCAGCCAGTGTTGTGACTTACTGGTGTAAAGGGAGATGTAGTAAGGAGGAAACTCTGGGCGCCCAAGAGGATAGCAGAGGGTACAGTTGACTAATGAAATGTCAGAGCTGGAAGAACTCTGGCCCAGAACTTTGGCATCTCAAGTCTGATCAAACCCAAGGGGGCTGGCTGCAGTGCACATCCTCACGCCCCACCAATACCATTGAATTAGAACCCAGAAACTCAAATGCATTTTTTAGTACCCTAGTGATTCTCATGTTCAGCCTTTGTCATGAACATCCTCCCTAGCCAGGCGCCTATAATCCTAGGGCTCAGGAGGTTCATCACGGTGAGTTCCAAGCCAGCCTCTGCTACATAGTGAGTTCAAGGACAGCATGAATGACATAGTGAGATCTTGTCTCAAAACGAAACAAAACAAAAAAAGAAATAGATCCTCATTTTGTGGGTTTACTGTGGGCCTAAGTTAGAGACCTTATGATGCCTATATTGCTGATCTGATCAATGTATTTTGAGCAGCAGGGATCTTTTAGACTGAATTACCAGCTTGATACTCATGGAAACTGAGAGTCAGAGAGATATGATCATCCATCATGACCTAACCTAGCATTCATTCAGTGCTTTCTGATACGCACTACCAGGTAGTGTACCAAAAGTAGCCAGGTAGCACACCGGGAGCACACCAGTGGCTGGACCTGCTCCTGCCTCTCACAGAGTGTGTTCTAATGAAGGAGCTAGAGAGAATGCAGACAAGTAGGTAGCTAAACTACTTACAGGCAGATGGCTACCAAGGAGATAAAGAGGGCCAGGTGGTGAGCCACACGTTGCCCCCCCCCCCCCGTAGTTGGGTAGCACTGAGGAGTTACTAGACTCATGTGTGTAACTGGGGACTTCTGATAGCAAATCTCTAACTTTCAGGGCAGGGTGGGGCTCAGTGGTGGAGGGCTTCCCTAGAATGCTGGAGGCCCAGGAGGGCTGGACCTCTGGCTTTCCTCACTGGGCAGGACCATCTTCCAACTCCTCCCAGCTTTCCATGACTGCTGCTATCCCTACTGAGAAGTCTGCCGAGATCCCTCCCCGGCTGTCTGGCCACATTCAAGACTCATTCTGCATTGGCCTCAGAGTAGAGCCTGGGAAATGCCCCATCAGCGAGCAGAGCATAGACCCCACAACAGGATGGCACTCAGGACCATTGGCTTTGGATTTTTATCACAGACTGGCCTCATCTAGATTCTCTCCCACCCCGAGAAATGGCTGAAGGTGTTCCACTTGTCCCCAAGAAAGCACAAACACCAGTACTTCCCTCCCTCTGCTGGTCTGTCCTGAGGGTCTCCGAGTTCAGGGGTCCCAGGCCTCACCCAAGCTGACCAAACTCTCCAGGCCAAGCCCTGGACTGTGTGTGTCAACCTGGGGCTCAGGTGACTTTTCCACTCCAGATAGTTGGGGATACACAGTGGGGATGGAAGAGGCTGGCACTCAGTGTCCTGTGCCCTGTCCCATGGCTGTAGAGGGTACAGACACTTCTTTTCTTTCCTTTTTTAGGACAGGGTCTCACTGTATAGTTCAGCCTGGCCTTGAGCTCACTATGTAGCCCAGACTGGCCTCAGACTTGTGGCGATCCTCCCACCTCAGCCGCCCAAGTGCTGAGATTACAAGTGTGCACCACCACACTCGGCTAGCCGAAGAATTTTCTTTCTTTTTTAATAGCACAGTATTTATTGGTACATTTTAGTCATATGTAATGTTAACACTCATCATAGGGAATTTGCATCTGTACATGATAATCCCACCTGTTTTATCCCCTTCCCCTCCCTATGTACAAAACATTTGTTTCCATTTTTCCCTTCTAGTTTCACTTTTTTCTTGTCCCTTCCTTCCTTCCTCCCTCCTCCCTTGTGTCCCTTCCCATTTGAACATTTTCTTCTCATTTCTCAATATCTATTATACATTTTAGTCCTTTTTTCCATTTTCAGTTTCTCACACCACAGAAACACTAGCTGCAGAATTTTCTTAGGCATTGACTAACCAGTGTGCTGCTGGCTCTGTAGGTACACACAGCAGCTCATCCCTTCTGGATCTCACCCAGCCCTTACCTCAGTGACCTCTGGCCTTATCTTACCGACCAGTCCCTGGTGCTTCCGAGCTCCCCATTCTACGATCTTCCTTCACGCAGCTCACCCCACACCTTAGATGATCAGTCTTGGGCTCTGTTTGGCTGGGGTCAGAAAGGGCAGAGGGGACCTTCAAGGACCCTCTTATCCCCACTCTCACTCCCAGCTGCTGGTCTGAGCACACCTGCTGGGCTGGAGTCTTCGAAGACTGCTAATGAGAGGGGGCACTGGCCAGACCAGTGTATTAGTCTAGAAGGTACAGAGTAGATAAAACTTCACTTGAGTAAAATACAAGCCAAGCCCTGGGTTCCATCTGCAATGCCACACACACACAAAATTTGGGTGGGGGAACCTGTTGGACCCCTGGAGTTCATCTTTCCTAGGTCAAAATGCAGGACAGTGAGGGGAGCCCCACTGGAGAGGATGGGGTAGACCAGTCTGGCTTGGAACCTAATCTTTGAGGGCTGGGGCTTCAGTCTCCCTTTGTGTGGCAGGGCACCCTACCTGGATTTCTAAAATTGCCCTTGGAAGATTTAGCAGGAAGTCCGCGGCCAGAAAGGCCCCTCTGGGGATGGCTGCCCCAGGGAGTGACCTTTTGCTTCCTGGAGGAAGAAAGGGGTGGGTGGGGGTGTTTCTTGCTCTAGTGTCAGCCATAAGTGTTTGTGGAGTTGTGGAGCCAACTAGACAGACACCTGGGACTCCTACCTCCTAGGTGGCCCGAGGCAGCTGGGATGACAGTTCTCCCCAGGAACCGTGCTACCTGCTGAGAAACATGATCAGCAAGTCCCGTGAGTGTTGTCCAGGGGCCCCCCAATGAAGGATGGGCCTCCACAAGTGGTCCTCAGCAGCATCCTGGGACCCCTAGGGGGCGGTTGGAGGGTCCACCTGGAAGTTAGGGAGCCTCTCTTCATCCTGAAGGCCAGCAGACACACTCGGGTCCAAGGCCTGAGTTAGGACGCCCAGGAGAGGTCCAGGGACTGGGTGTGTCCGAGCTGGGGGCCGGAGATGCCCAGGTAGGGCAGGTGAAAAGGTGGACTGGGACTGTATCTGCCTGTTTCTGCCTCCAGCTCCTCTGTGCATGTACCCTGCAGGCTGGAAGCTCCTGGCCATGTTGGCTCTGGTCTTGGTGGTCATGGTATGGTATTCCATCTCCCGAGAGGACAGATACATTGAGTTGTGAGTGCACCTTCCATGCCCTTCCATTGGTTCTTCTCAGGGATTGGGTGGTCATGGGCAGGAGGCCTAGCAGGGAAGGAGGGTTCTGAGAGCCAGGACATGAGGGTGGGTGGCAGGCAGAGGGAGGTAGGATCTAGATGACTCCCCTGGGCCCCCATAGAGGGAATGCCAGGCATGAAAGGTTGAACTTGGGTCCTGAATCCCACCCGACAGTTCCTTCTCCAGTGCTTTGGGGTCTTTGTGCTATGGAAAGGTGCCTGGAATCAGGGCTCGGGTCTGATTGGGGCTCTTGCCTCCTCTCTCTGTCTCCAGTTTTTATTTTCCCATCCCAGAGAAGAAGGAGCCATGCTTCCAGGGCGAGGCAGAGAGGAAGGCCTCTATGATCTTTGGCAAGTAAGTGCCTGAGGATGAGGGGGCTGGGATGGAATGGGGTGTGCCATTAGTGAGGGATGCAGCCTCAGGGCTGGGAGCTGGGCCGAGCATAGAATTGGGTTAAGGGAAGTCAGACCTTGGAGGCCTGACCCGGCCCCCCCACCTGCACTGGCATCTAGATTAATCCCCTTCTCATCCCTTCCTTTTACAGCCACACCCGAGATCACCCTATCTTCCTGCAGCTTAAGGATTATTTCTGGGTCAAAACACCATCTACCTATGAGCTGCCCTATGGGACCAAGGGGAGTGGTAAGTTTCTGCCCAGGTCCATTCAGCCATGCTGGTGCCTGTTCTCTTTTTTTTGCTATTAAATTCTTTTATTGGTACATTGTAGGTATACAACACAATTGCATTTCTCACTGGGAATTGTACCTTTCATAATGCATCTTGGTTCTCATTTTTTCCCCATTCCTAGCCCTCCCTTCACGCCCTCCACCCTTCCCTATTTACAAAGACTTTATTTCCATTTT